TGTGTGTGTGTGTGTGTGTGTGTGTGTTTGTGTTTGTTTGTGTTTGTGTGTGTGTTTGTTTATAACCAGCTGTATATAAACACAATTAAAGTCTATGCAATGTCCCCATTTGAATAAACAAATCTGGACACAAATTGATAGACAGGCATCTATTTTTTGTTAAATTTTGTTGAAATATTTTGTTGAAAATATCACTGTTATTTAATATTTGTTTATTTGAATTTATTTAAAATAAATAAAATAAAATTTCATTTATTTAAAGGAGGAAAAGTAACGTGGAATCTTATAAAGTGCGTCTACTTTTCAGCTAATTATGTACATTTGTTCCCTAATTTTTTGCTTTTTTTTTGCCTTACTGTGTTGGCAGAGACATATATGATATTTTAGTAATATATATAATGCTTTTAAATATGCTTTTATTTTCAAATTGGATTTTTGTATTCAGTTTAATTTTAGTTTAATTTTTTTGTAATTCTGTTATGTACTTTTTTGTGTAATTCTGTTATGTGCTTTTGTCATTTTTATTAATATTTGTTATTTTATATTACTATTTAATGAATTAATGAATGAGGCATTTATTTAGTGCTTTATTGTATATTGCTGAACACCCAAAGCACTTTACAATCATATGAAGGGGTCTCTCCTTAACCACCACCAGTGTATTTAAATTAAATTATCTTTATTTCAGCTTTAGTTTTAGTTCAGTTTTAGTTTTTGTTTATATCCTGTTAGTAATTTTAGTACTTAATTATTTAATATTCATTTTTATAAAAATTAAACATTATTTTATTATTATGAAATACTGTTCAGTAGTATTATAGTGACATTTCTTTATTGATTTGTTTAATTTTTATAATACAAGTAAATAACTCGTGTTTGTGTGTGTTTATCAGGTCACGCGTCTCTGAGCTCGTGTCCGTGGGTTCTGCTGGAGGATCTGTCCAGTGTCTACACTGATGTAGAAGTGGAGCGAAAGCACACACACAAGAAACGCAAGCTGGCCGACGGACGGGAGAAAACCATGGTGTGTCTCATGTGTTATTATTATTATTACATCAGCATATGCAAATGCATGTGGTGAACATGACTGCTGTGTGTGTGTGTGTGTGTGTGTGTGTGTGTGTGTTTGTTTGTGTTTGTGTGTGTGTTTGTTTATAACCAGCTGTATATAAACACAATTAAAGTCTATGCAATGTCCCCATTTGAATAAACAAATCTGGACACAAATTGATAGACAGGCATCTATTTTTTGTTAAATTTTGTTGAAATATTTTGTTGAAAATATCACTGTTATTTAATATTTGTTTATTTGAATTTATTTAAAATAAATAAAATAAAATTTCATTTATTTAAAGGAGGAAAAGTAACGTGGAATCTTATAAAGTGCGTCTACTTTTCAGCTAATTATGTACATTTGTTCCCTAATTTTTTGTTTTTTTTTGCCTTACTGTGTTGGCAGAGACATATATGATATTTTAGTAATATATATAATGCTTTTAAATATGCTTTTATTTTCAAATTGGATTTTTGTATTCAGTTTAATTTTAGTTTAATTTTTTTGTAATTCTGTTATGTACTTTTTTGTGTAATTCTGTTATGTGCTTTTGTCATTTTTATTAATATTTGTTATTTTATATTACTATTTAATGAATTAATGAATGAGGCATTTATTTAGTGCTTTATTGTATATTGCTGAACACCCAAAGCACTTTACAATCATATGAAGGGGTCTCTCCTTAACCACCACCAGTGTATTTAAATTAAATTATCTTTATTTCAGCTTTAGTTTTAGTTCAGTTTTAGTTTTTGTTTATATCCTGTTAGTAATTTTAGTACTTAATTATTTAATATTCATTTTTATAAAAATTAAACATTATTTTATTATTATGAAATACTGTTCAGTAGTATTATAGTGACATTTCTTTATTGATTTGTTTAATTTTTATAATACAAGTAAATAACTCGTGTTTGTGTGTGTTTATCAGGTCACGCGTCTCTGAGCTCGTGTCCGTGGGTTCTGCTGGAGGATCTGTCCAGTGTCTACACTGATGTAGAAGTGGAGCGAAAGCACACACACAAGAAACGCAAGCTGGCCGACGGACGGGAGAAAACCATGGTGTGTCTCATGTGTTATTATTATTATTACATCAGCATATGCAAATGCATGTGGTGAACATGACTGCTGTGTGTGTGTGTGTGTGTGTGTGTGTGTGTGTGTGTGTAGAGCTCTGATGATGAGGACATGTTGGTCAAAGGCAGAGGGCGGCACATTGTGGTGAATAAAGCAGAGATGCCGGGATGGGCCGAGACTTTAGAGCACTTCCGTACAGCCAGAGAGAGCTGGGATCTGCTGCACTCACACCAGAGTCTGGAGACGGGTCTGTCTATGTGTGTGTCTGTCTGTCTGTCTGTCTGTCTGTGTGTCTGTGTGTCTGTCTGTCTGTCTGTGTGTCTGTCTGACTGTCTGTGTGTGTGTCTTTCTGACTGTGTGTCTGACTGTCTGTGTGTCTGTCTGACTGTGTGTCTGTCTGACTGTGTGTCTATCTGTCTGTCT